ACCCTCTGTATTTCCCTATATAATATCTGAAAACTGTCATTTCATATATAGGTCTGGTTTTTTAGGGTTTTCAGATGGAGGGCAAACTGTTAATCTATGTTGGCCCTTATGTGTATTTTTTTTTTCTTGGTACTTATTTTTTAAATGGTATTAAAAAAAAGATTGTTTACCATCTGAACCATTTTAGGGTACAGTTCAGTAGTGTTAAGGATATTCACATGTTGTGCACCAGATCTCTAGAACTTCCTATTTTGCAAAATTGAAACTCTGTACCCATTAAACGCTAATTTTATCACCCCCTCACTTACAACCCTTGGTTAGCAACCTTTTTACTTTTTTTCCTGTGATTTTGACTACTATAAATACTCGATATGAGTGGAATCATACCATGTTTGTCCTTTGTGGTTGGCTTATTTTACTTAGCGTCATGTTCTCAAGGTTCATCCTTAATGTGACTTGTGATCGGATTACTTTATTTTTAAAGGCTGCACAGTATCCCATTCCAGTGCTTCATGTATATAGCACATTTCCCTTACCTATTCCTCTGTCTGTGAACTTTCAGCTTGCTTCTCCCACTTGACTGTTGTGAATAATGCTACAGTGAGCATGGGTATATAAATCTGTCTTTGAGATCCTACTTGAATTCTTTTGGATATATACCCAGAATTGGGATTGCTCCATCATAGGGCAATTCTATTTTTAATTTTTTTGAAGATATATTTATTCTTTTGAGAGAGAGAGAGTGTATGCACGCAAGCAAAGGGAAAGGAAGAAGGGAAGCAGACTCTCTGCTGAGCAAAGAGCCTCACCTGGGGCTTGATCTCACCACCCTGAGTTTGTGACTTAAACTGAAACCAAGAGTTGGACACAACCAGACAAGCCACCCAGACACCCCTGTAAATGATATTTTTGTAATTTTGTTGTCCAGTTTGGTCATTATTAGTATATAGAAATGCAACTGATCTTCACATGCTGATATTCTGAAATTTTGCTGAAATCATTTATTAGAGTAAATTTTTTAAGACTCTTCAATATCTTCTACCTAAAAGATCATGTTGTCAGCAGATAATTTTACTTTTTCCTTTCCAATTTTGAGATCATTTGCTGCTTTTTTCCTATCTGTTTGCCCTGACTAGAAGTTCAGTACCATGTTGAATAGAAGTAGCAAGAGTAGGTACTCTTGATCTCAGGGTTGTGAGTTAGAGCCCCACATTGGGTGTAGAGATTATTTAAAAACAAAATCTTTTTTTTTAAATTTGTATTTATTTATTTAATAGAGATCACAAGCAGGCAGAGAGGCAGACAGAGGAGGGGAGGGGGAAGAAGGCTCCCTGCTGAGCAGAGAGCCAGATGTGGGGCTTGATCCCACAACCCTGAGATCATGACCTGAGCCAAAGGCAGAGGCTTAAACCAGCAACCCAGGCGCCCCATTAAAAAAAATCTTTTTTCTTTTTTTTTTTTTTAAAGAATAGGCACCCTTCCTTCTTAATCTCAGAGGAAAATAAAATCTTTGCATCTTTCACTATTGAGTGTGATGCTAGCTGTGAGCCTTTCACTTACGGCATTTATTATGTTGAGGGTAGTTTTCTTCTATTCCTAGTTTGTTGAGTGTTTCTGTCATGAAAAGGTATTGGGTTTTGACAGATGCTTTCTCTGCACCAATTGAGATGATCATGTGGTTTCTGTCCCTCATTCTGTTAATATGGTGTATTCTGTTGATTTTCATTTGTTGAACCATTCTTGCATTCCAGGAATAAATCCACCTTGGTCAATGTGTAGAATTCTTTCAATGTGTTAACTTTGGTTTTTAGTATTTTATTGAGGATTTTTGCTCAGTATTCATCCAGGTATATCGATCTGTTGTTTTCTCATTGTTTCCACACTCACCTAAACAATATCCTAATTATACTTTTTAGGTATGGATTTTAAAAGTACTTCCTATCAAACTTCATTATAAATTCCCCATTTAAAAATATAGTGTTTACAGTGACTTGGTTTGGCTCTCTGGGGAACAAATGCAATTACAAGGTTTTTTTTCCTCAGACTTTGAAATATTACAGAGAAAAATAAAAAAGAACTAAAGTCAAAGGTTACTGTCTTTGTGTGGTGTTTAACATTTAAAGCATTTTAAAGTATAGGTAAGTGGCATTAAGTGCATTCACACTGTTGTGCAAACGTGTATATCCTTGTATTAGTCTACTAGGGCTACAATAACAAAATACACTGACTTGGTGCCTTGAGCAACAAATTTATTTTCTCACAGTTCTGGAGGCTACAAGTCCAAGATTAAGGTGTTAGGTTTATTTGAGGCTTCTCTCTTCTCAAGATGGCTATTTTCTTTCTGTTTCTTTACATGGCATTTCCTCTGTGCATGCATCCTGTGTCCTTAAGTGGCATTTCCTCTGTGCATGTGTCTTTTTCTTCCTATAAGGACACCAATCCTATTGGATTAGGGCCCCATCCTTATGTCCTTATTTAACCTCGGTTAACCTTTTTGAAGGCCCTTTCTGCAAATGCAGTCACATTGGGAACTAGGGTTTCAACATATGAATAATCAGTTCTAAACACCTTTTATGTAGTGCTTCTGGTTTATTTCCTAGAGAACCTACCATCATCAGTATAGTCATTTCTTACTGTTGTTCTAACAAATTATCACAACCTAGGTGGCTTTAAACAACAAACTTACTGTCTGGCAATTCTAAAAGCCAGAAGTCTGAAATCAGTATCACTGGGCAGAAATCAAGGTGTCAGCGGTGTTATTCTCTCCAGAAATTCTAGGAGAGGCTCTATCCCTTGCCTCTCTCAATTTCTGGTGGCTACTCACATTCCTGACTATGAGTTCAATCTTCAAGGCCAATATTTTCAAATCTCTCTCTTCTCTGTCCTTGCATTCTCTGTGTATAGTGAAATTTCCTCGCCTCCCTCTTTATAAGAATACATGTGATTGTAGTTAGGGCCCACCCAGATGATCCAGGATAATCTCTCCATCTCAAAATTTTTTTTAACTTAATCACATCTGTAAAGACTTTTCTTTTGAGGGGGGAAGGGTCATATAAGGTAATATCCACAGGTTCTGGGGATTCGAATGTGGATTCTCTTGCAGAGCCATTATTTTTTCATCCCATTACACTCAGCAATTCATAGTAGACTTAGTGTTCTTACTGTGATTTATAGCTTAGCTTGTAATAGGTCACAGTATCCAGTTATGAGTAGGTAAAGATTGGGGGCAGTGGGTGGCCAAGAGAATATTCTTGCCTCTTCTAGACATTAACGAAGAAAACTCCAGGTCTGTGGTTCTAAGTGTGTGGTCCTGGAAATAACATCACCTTAGGAATTTACTAGAAGTGCAAATCACTGGGCTCTAATTTAGAATTACTGAATCAGGAACTTTGAGGGTGGAGGCTAGCAGTCTGTATAACAGGCCCTCTGGGTGATGCTAATATGTGCTAAAGTTTGAGAAACAGTTTGTCAGACTGTTGACATTTTTAGTGTTAAGACCATATTCACCTCCTTCTCTAGCTCTTTTCTGCTTCAGTCTAATACTTCAATGAGTCTAGGATTTATAGTCCACAAACTTTGTTTTCTGTAGGGATGTAAACATTTAGTACTAAAATCTTGGTATTGATGATAAAAGTTTGCACCAGGCTGGTTTTTATCAGTTGTGTTTTTACTTATAGTTATTTCATAAAGTAATATTACTGGATTCAGAAGTGTTGTGAACTTTTTTCCTAATCTTTAAGTGGGCCTACACTGTTGTACTTTTAGTATGTGCTACCCAGTGAAAATGCTGAAATAAGATGAATGAATTCTTATCCTCCATGTGTCCATACTGTAGTTCAGAAAACATGTAAGTGAACAGCTGATACAGAGTTATCACCAGTTTCTGTACCAATTGAGAAACACTGTAACTGTGAAGAAATTGAGATGGGACCTTTCAAGGTGACTAAACTAATTATTGCAAAACTAGTAAAAAAAGTTTCAGTAAAATTAAAGAGAGATAGAAGGTAGGATAGTTCACTATGCGAAGCAGCGAGAAAGCTGAGAAGGCATGGGGACTGTTCTGTAATTTGAAGGAGTTTAGTATTAGAAACCTGCAGTGAATGGGAAAGTAAAGATTGGGGATAATTGATAAGGATGAGATCGTTGGTGAGTACTGTTGAAGGACTGGAATCATAGATTTGATATCCTCAGAATAGCCATTGCAAAATTATACATTACATGATTCTAGGAAGAATAAATTTGAGATGATAGTCTGGAAATAGAATAGTTATAGGAATCTAGGTGAGAATGGCAGTAGGTATGGTGGTGCCATTTTTTGTGAATAAGAATGCAAAAGAATAAGTTTCAGGTTGGGGAAGTTGTGTAGAGTACAGGATGAGACATACTGAGTTTTCAGAATTTATGGAATGTGATAAAATTAGGGGTAGATTTTTCAAGTCCGTTTTCAGTGGAATGTTGGGATAGCTGTTATACTAGATTGTGAATTAAATGGAAGAAGCAGGAGAGTATCAATATGTACTATCCTCTAGAATAATGGTCTTTGGCATTTAGTATTTAATCACTGTTAGCCATTACTGTATTTATTGTTAGTATACTTTTATGCCATCTCATACTTTTTTGTTCTTCAGCTTTTTGGTGTACTTTTTGGTATATATGTAATAGTATTAGATAAGCATCTAGATAGAAGTATGTGTTTTATTAACAAATACTGATTTTAATTGCTATACTATTAAAATTAATGAAAATAAGTTGTAAATTTTTTTAAAGAAAACTAGAAAGTTTGTCATTTGAATAGATTATTGTTCATAAAAAAAGTGGTATTGAGCAAGTTTCCTGAAAGTATAATATGATCATGTTTTAGTTGAACCACTTTTTTGGACACGTTATGTCAAAATAACTTGTTTTGTGATTTTTAATTTCAAAGAGTAAGTGTGTCATAGATGTACTTATTCATACCTGACACAAAAATTAAATGATGGTCTTTACATGTATTCTTTCAGGTTTGAGTTAATTTCGAATGAGATTGTTTTTGCAACGAGATGTTAATAAGACAAAATCTAGGTAAGTAGAAGACTACTTTGTTAAATGTTATATATCAAAGTAGGAATAATAGGAAAAATTATGTTTTAAAACTCTGCCTTCAAGTTCAGATTTAATGAGTTTTTCAATAAAATTTTGAAATACAAAGAATTGACTTTGAGGTACTTGCTTGAGTTGATTTGGTGGAAGTAACAATAGAGTCATCAAATTGTGCTCTTAGTTTTCCTTCCTTTATGTTGAATTTAAGTATGTGACTATTAAACATCTGAGAAAATTGAGCTGGTGTTCGGTTTAGCTATTCAGAAAACAGTTGAGTAAGAGATTTGCTGCATGCTTCAATGTTCTGAGTAGATTATAGTGCTCGAGTAGTTTTTGCTTTTGTGAATTTTACTTATTTTGATTAATGGAGTACTTCCATAAATTGATTAAATTTGCCAAATCGTGACTTCTTTATATTAATATAATGTTTTGAATATAAATGATTGTTTCAAAGAGTATCTCTGTTGGTCATTGAATTGGTCAAAGTCATTGAATGAATTTTCTAATTTAGCATTCTGATTTGCATTCTTTTTTTAAGACTGTTGACTTTCAGGAAATTGAATTGTGATCATGTACTTTTTTGGTCTGATATGTGAAAGAATGTTCTTTGGGGTGTGTGTGTGTGTGTGTGTGTGTATGTGTGTGTCTTTTAGGTTTTATTTATTTATTTGAGAGAGAGAGAGAATGAGACAGAGTGTGAGAGGGGAGAGGTCAGTGGGAGAAGCAAACTCCCCACCAAGCAGAGAGCCTGATGTAGGACCTGATCCTGGGACTCTAGGATCGTGACCTGAGCCAAAGGCAGTTACTTAACCAACTGAGCCACCCAGGCGCTCTGAAAGAATGCTTTTTAATAATAGAAACTGTTCAGATGTTAAAAAGACTTACTGTCTTTTGGCAAATGAACATGGTTTCAGGATATAAACAGATTAAAAGGAATACTTAAATTGTAGTTAACTTGGTCTTTCTCTAATGTAACTAGACATTTAAGCTGTTGGAAACTTGCTGATCTCAAAGTTAAAAAGAGGAAAATTAAAAATCTAGTATGAGAAGTGCTGTAGATGAGTGATATGCAGTTAAACAGTGTGTTCTTAGTAAGTGGTTTAGGCATAATTTGAAGGAGAGTTTCCGTTTTATTGCTATTATATAATAGTAATTGTAGTGATTGTGCTGTATGTTGTGTTAACTGCTTCTCATGCCTTGTTAATCTTTATAGTACTTTTGTAAGGTAGGTACTCCTGTGTAGAAAATTTTTACTTTTTTGGTTTATAGTGAGCTATTTCTTTTCTTTAGGAGGAGTGCACTATCTCCACAGCATCTATTATAAGGAACACTTGCCTATATATCTTCTTGTAGGGAAAAAGAAGCTAGACTTTTGTTCTTAAGGTATTATAGGGATTTTGTTTGTTAATTGAATATACAGTGTTTTAGAACCTTTATTCTAATTTCTTATGTCAGATATCGCTTAAGGGATGACATTGGTTTAACATATTCTGACCCTGTTCTACCACAATTATGCATTTTTTTGCATAGAACTTAATTCACATGTATAACTTACATTTTTATATAAATTAAGTTGTAATTTGTGTATGGTAAAATTTAAAGTATAGAGCTGAATGAGGTTTTTACTTATGTAAAACATATGTAAAACATACATATATGTTCACACATGTAACTACCATAGAGATGAAGACGTAGAACATTTTTATTGCTCAGAAAGTTCCTCATACTCTTCCCTTTCCAGTCCAATAGCCTTCTCCTCCTGAGGTAAAATTTCTGAATTTTATCAGCATAGCTTAGTTTTGCCTGTTCTTGAATTTTATGTATATAGAATTATGTAATAGCATTAGTTTATATGTGGCTTTTTTCAATCAACATACATCTTGTTGTATGAATATCAGTAGTTCATTATTTTTTATTACTGAGTACTATTCCATTGTATGACCGTGCTATAAATCTTTTATGTATTCTCTCTGTAATTTTATTTATTGGATTCTTCTATTCTCTGACCTCACTTTCCAGCATTCTACACTATTTTCCTTCCTCTAGTTGTCCTCTTTACTGTTCCCGTATCACCTGCACAATAAAATGTAAGCTCCATGACTTGGCATACAATGGTCTCCCTGCAGCTATTCCAGAATGCCTAGAATTATCTGAATAAACTAAATCTGATGTTTCTTATGTTTAGTTTTAGTCCTAATTATATGTTGTCACTCTTCCCCAGCCTCTCACCTCCCCCAGCCATCATTGTCCTTCCTCCTGCTCATCAGCTTATCTCCTGAAATATCTCCTGAAATATCTCTTTTCCTTTGAGCCATACTGCAGTCTTCTCTTATCCTTTGGGCCAGACCTGGCCATACTGCAGTAGTGTGTTTTCTTTACTGGACTGTGAGCCCCTTGAAGGTAGACACCATCAATGTTGTACTTACCTTAGTAGCACAATGCCAGAGTACTGTGTGTACTTAGTGAATTTTGTAAAACATGGAACAGTGAGCATAATTCTCTCTCAGTCATCTAGGGATTCAGAATACTGGCTGGAATGGGATGAGGACATTGGCACAGTTGCTGTTGGGCTGTAGGAAGGAGCCAATGGGGATAATACGGAAGCAGCATTGTAGGTATTTTGGAAAGCCCTAAAATATCCCCCAAGTCTTCTTTCAATCCAGTTTAAAAAAATGGCGAGTAATGTTCTTAGTTGAGACCTTAAGGAAAACTGTTGATTTTGATTACTCTTTTCAAATGAAGGCATTAACTCATGTCATAGAAATTGGAGTGCTTGCTACTAACAGTATTCTTTTAGTGAGTTTGTGCTAGTTATTTCTTTAAAGATTTTAAAGGATGTATTAGATTAATACAAGTAGAAGGCTAGGAAGACTGGTCACATCTATAAAGAAAACTTCTCATTTTCCTAAAGGTAAAAAAGAAATTGGGAGTAGAGAAGGAAATTGAATCATAGTCTGGAATTGTGATAATATTTATTTTTATAGCTTAGGAAGCTTGCTGTTTGATGAAGTTTAAAAAATTTGTTTTTTTCATTGTAGGTCTGTAATATATAAATAATATGCTTACTTAAGAAACTTTTAAAATATTATAAAATACTTTACACTAGTTTTTTTCTTGAAATTAGGCTTGTTGGGTTGGCCATTGTAGTCACCTAGGGGATTTTTATGCCTTCTAGCAAGTCCAAAGCAAGGAGAAGTTCTTCCCCACTGGGATCAATTTGTTGCTTTTCCTCTCTACAGCTTCTGCCATAAAGGTTGAATACAGAATTGGACATTGACCCCATCTCATGCTGTTTCTTCAGATCTCTACAAGGATTTTCTTAGACATAGATTCTTATCAAATGTTAGAACTTCAGTTATTTGTTTTATTTCATCATTGATGTGAAGTATGTTTAGTTTTCTTGTTGATAAAATTTGAGTATTCAGAGAAATATAACCTTCAGGTTGTTTGACTTACGTGTATTTGAAAGATTTTGGGCTAGTTTCTCTTCACAGATAGGTATACCTCAGTTTCAGACTCTTCGTCTTCATTCTGTGCTTCACTATTTTATATGGTCAGCCACTGCTTTTTCCATTTTACAGAGTCCCTGAATCCAAGGATTTGAAGTTCTTTATATATACTTACCTTATATTAGCTAATTTCCTTCATTTTCAAATTAAGTTCTCTGTGCTTCACTGTCTTTAGTAGCAATGTAGTTATGTGCTGACCTTTGTTGCAATGTGAATAAGACTTAAATTAAAAAAAATTTGTTCTTCATTCTAGATGAGATTGCACAGTGCACATTTGACCTTTTTCAAATATATTGCCAGGTAGCATTTAGTATTTTTGAAATTTTACTTTTTTTTTTTTTTTTAAAGATTGTATTTATTTATTTGACAGGCAGAGATCACAAGTAGGCAGAGAGGCAGGCAGAGAGAGAGGAAGGGAAGCAGGCTCCCTGCTGAGCAGAGAGCCCGACTCGACTCGAGGCTCGATCCCAGGACCCTGAGATAATGACCTGAGCCGAAGGCAGAGGCTTTAACCCACTGAGCCACCCAGGTGCCCCTGAAATTTTATTTTTTTTAATGGAAGTCACATACACTTACTTACGTATGAGCAAATAGTGTATAGATGTTTAGAATGAGTAAACTCTCTCACCCAGCACTGTGTTCCCTGTAAATTATCAGAAATAGTTGATACGTATTCTGCATCTTTCTCTTTCCATTTGCCATATGTCTTGGACATTTTTCCATATATGGATTACATTAATATAATTGTTTCCTTGTTGATAGAGACACTTCGGTAAATCTAAAGGTTTTTTGCTTGTATATGCAGTGCTGCAATAAATATTCTTCACTACATTATTGGAATTGTGTGAGAATGTAAGATAATTTGTAGCAATGGATTACTGGGTCAGTGTATATGTGCACTTTAATTTCTGATACTGCAAAATTGCAATGAGATTATATCGCTTAATATTTTTGCTAGCAGGGGCGCCTGGGTGGCTCAGTCGTTGGGCGTCTGCCTTCTGCTCAGGTCATGATCCCAGGATCCTGGAATCGAGTCCTGTATTGTGCTCTCCTCTCGGCAGGAAGCCTGCTTCTCCCTGCTTGTGTTCCCTCTTTCGCTGTGTCTCTGTCAAAGAAATGAAATCTTAAAAAAAAAAAAAAAAAATTTGTTAGCAGTGTTTGAGAATATCTTTCTCCACACCCCACCAAGTATTATTAACTCATGTTTTAATCCATGCCAGTCTAATCGGTGAAAAGTGGTATTTATTGGTGCATTTTTTTTAAGAAGGATTTTACATTTCCAAGTCTTTTGAGAAAGCAAAATTAATGCAGTGCAAATCAGAACATCCAATTAATAAATATAACAACAAGCCAAAGTAGTTTTGTTAATGGATTAACCCATTTATTATGGGCTAGCAGTGTTTCAAAAGGTGGAACTTCTACTGGTCTTTCAACTCCTTCAGTCTTCTGATGGCGCACTTCACTGTGACAGCAGGAGTGGTGTTGTATTGGTAGGTCCACGCACCACTGGCTGCTCTTTTCATGTAGGAACCACAATACCAGCTCCTGACAGCTTGTCTTTTCCTCTTGGTTTTGCCACAGAGGGAGCAGGTGTATTTGGCACACTGACCTATTTCACTCCTCACCATTTTCCTGAGTGAGGGACCGTAATGGGTCCCGTATTTACCTATGATTCTGACCTTCTTGATGCATTTAACCACACTGTTGCAAACTTGAGAGAGCTCTCATTGTGTTTTACATTTACATTTCCCTAATGACTAATGATGCTCAACATCCTTTTAAGTGATTATGTGCATTTTTATCTTAGGTGAAATGTCTGTTCATGTCTTTTGCTCATTGTCTGGTTGGATTGTTTATTATTTTTTACTGTTCTTTTGAGAATTACGTATTCTAGCTACCCGTCCTTTGTTAGATAGGGTTTTTCTAAGTACTTTGTCCCATCCCAGTCTATACTTTGTATTTTTGTCTTCTTAACAGCATCTTTAAAGTTCTAAATTTTTATGAGGCTCAGTTTATCACATATTTTGGTTTTTTTGGAGCTAGCATTGTGATTTTAATTTCATATTCTGTATGTTCATTGTTAGTATATGGTAATACACTTGATTTTTTTCCAAGATAGGACTCACCTAAAATATGTTATTAATTTTAAAGTAAAAAATCGAGTGACTTTTTAGATTTGCAGTATTGTGCAATTATCACCTCTAACTAGTTCCATTATATTTCATCATACCCAAGGAAACCCATTAAGCAGTCAGTCCTCATTCTCCCCCCCCCCCACCCCCCCCGCCAGTCCCTGGAAACCACTAATCTGCTTTTTATCTCTATGACTTTACCTGTCCTGGATATTTCATATAAAAGGAATTATATAGCATGTAACACTTGTGTCTAGCTTCTTTCACTTAACCATAATATTGGTTCTTTTTGGAGTGTTTTGTTTGTTTTTAAATATTTATTTATTAGAGAGCATGTGAGCAAGCATGAGCAGGCTAAGGGGCAGAGGGAGAGGGAGAAGATTATTCCTTGATGAGTGGAGAGCCTGACGTGGGGCTCGAACCCAGGACCCTGAGGTCATGACCTCAGTGGAAGTTAGATGCTTACTTAACCAACTGAACCACCCAGGAACCTCAATAATAAATTTTTTTAATTTTAATTTTTTTAAAAAGATTTTATTTATTTGACACACAGAGAGAGATATCACAAGTAGTCAGAGAGGCAGGTGGAGAGGGAGAAGCAGGCTCCCTGCTGAGCAGAGAGCCCCATGCAGGGCTTGATCTCAGGACCCTGAGATCATGACCTGAGCCAAAGGCAGAGGCTTAACCCACTAAGCCACCCAGGCGCCCCTGATTTTAATTTTTTAAGTAAGCTCTACTCTAACATGGGGCTCGGACTCACAACCCTGAGATCAAGAGCTGCACACTCTGTCTACTGAGCCAGCCAGATGCAGCATAACATTTTCGAGGTTCATCCATGTTGTAGTATGTAGGTGCTTCGTTCTTTCCCTTTTTTTTCTTTTTTTAAAGATTTATTTATTTGTTTTAGAGAAAGTGCATGCGTAAGTGGTGGGAGGAGAGGCAGAAGGAGAGAATCTTCAGATGGCTTGCTGAGCTGAGATCCCTTCCCAGGGCTCCATCTCAGGACCCATGAGATCATGACCTGAGCCAATACCAAGAGTCGGACACTTAACCAACTGAGCCACTCAAGCACCCTGGTACTTCTTTTTATGCCTGAATAATATTTTATTGTATGGCTATGCTATAGATTCTCTACCTGTTCATCTTTGGATGGACATTTGGGTTGCTTACACTTTTAATCTATTTTGAATAGTGCTGCTGTGTGCATCTTAATCATTTTATAAGTGTGTAGTTCAGTAGTATTAAGTATATTCACACTGTTATGAAACAGATATCCAGAACTTTTTCATCTTGCAAATCTGAGACTCTGTACCCATTAAACAGCAAATTCCCTTTTTACCCCTTTCCCCAGCCATTGGTGATCACATTCTACTTTCTGTTTTCATGAATTTGACTACTTTAGATAACTCATATAGGTGGAATCATACAATATTAGTCTTTTGGGGACTGACTTGTTTCATTCTGTGTAATGTTCTTAAGGTTCATCCATTGGGTAGCATGTGACGGGATTTTTTCCCCCCTGTTTAAGGCTGTATAATATTTCAGTGTGTCATATACCACATTTCCTTTATTGATTCATCCATCAGTAGACATTGGATTGCTTCATCTCTTGGCTATTGTGAATAGTGTTGTTATGAGCATGGGTGTGCAAATATTCTTCAAGACTCTTTGAAATTTTTTTTGAATATATACCTCAAAGTGTTATTGCTGGATCATATGATAATTCCATTTCTAAGTTTTCCAGGAATGTCCATCTGTTTTTTCACCACTTTACAGTCCCACCAACAATGCACACACCTTAACCAACATTTGTCATTTTCTGTTATCACAACCATCCTAATGGATGTGCAGTGATACCTCATGGTTTCAATTTGCATTTCTCTGATGATTAATGATGTTGGGCATTTTTTCATGTTTCTTGGCCATTTTTAGATCATATTTAGAGAAACACCTATTCAACTCAAATTTTAATTGGGTTATTTGGGGGGTTTTTGTTTTGTAAGAATTTTTTAATATTTTCTAGACATTAAATACTTATATCTACAGTTTGGTAATATTTTCTCCCATGCTGTAGATCACCTGCCTATTGACTCAGTTGATTGTGTGCTTTGATACACAGAAGTTTTTAAGTTTGATGTACTTCCATTTGTCTATTTCTGTTTTGTTGTCTCTGCTTTCTGTATCCAAGAACTTATTGTCAAGTTTGATGATGTCACAGAACTTTTTCCTCTATGTTTTCTCTTGGGAGTTTTATAGTTTCAGGTCTTATGTTTAGGTCTTTGATTCATAGTGAGTTAAGTTTTATTTATGGTGTAAACTTCAACCTTTTGTATGTGTTTATCCGGTTTTCCCAGCACCCTTTGTTGAAGAGTCTGTCCATTTTTCATTGAATGGTCTCGGCATCCTTGGCAGAGATCATTTGACTGTTTTGTGAGTGTATTTCCAGGGTCTGTCTTTTGTTCCTTTGATCTGTTTGTCTCTATGCCATTACCAGAGTGTTTTGATTACTGTAGCATTGTAAATTTATTTTTAAATTAATAGATATGAGACATGCAACTTTGTTGTTCTTTTTCAAAATTGCTTTCCCTTGAGATCTCTTGATTTTTCTTTTTAAGAGTTTATTTATTTATTTGACAGGGAGAATGACAGTGAGAGAGGGAACATAAGCAGGGGGAACCAGAATGGGAGAGGGAGACGCAGGCTCCCCACTGAGCAGGGCAGCCTATGAGGGGCTCTACCCCAGGACCCCGGGATCATGACCTGAGCTGAAGGCAGATGCTTTTGAAGACTGAGCCACCCATGTGCCCTGGGAGCTCTTAATATTTGAATTTTAGGGTGAATTTATCTACTTCTGCAAAAAAAGAAAAAAAGCCACTGGGAATTTGATAGTGATTATGTTGAATCTGTTGATTGCTTTGGATAATATGGACATCTTAATATTAAGTCTCCCAATACTTGAACACTAAATATTTTTCCATTTTTTTTTTTAACATTTTTCAGCATTTTTTTCTGTGGTTTTCACTGCACAAGTCTTTCATCTCCTTGGTTAACAAGTCTTTCATCTCCTTGGTTAAGTTTATTCCTAAGCTTTTTATTCTTTTTGATGCTTTTGTAAATGAGATTCTTAAATTTTTAGGCTGCTTATTGTTAATGTATAGACACAACTGATTTTTGTGTGTTAATTTTATATCCTACATTGGTGAATTTGTTTATTAGTTATAACCGTTTTTTTTGGTGGTTTTTTTGGTTTCTACACAAGGTCATGTTGTCTTTGAAAAGAGATAATTTTTTTTTTCTAATTTGAATTTTTTTTTTCCTTGCCTGACTGCTCTTGCTAGGACTTCCTGTACTATATGTTTGATAGGAGTAGCAAGAGCAGATGGTCTTGTCTTATTCTTTGTGTTAGAGGAAAAGCTTTCAGTATTTCACCACTGAGTATGATTTTAGCTCTTGTGTTTTTTTGTAAGTAGACTTCATTATGTTGAGGTAGATTTCTTCTATTCTAGTTTATTGAGAGTTTTGTTTATTATGAAATGGTGTCATATTTTGTTAAGTGTTTTTTCTGCATCAATTGAGATGATTTATGTTGTATTTGTTCATTCTGTTAATGTGTGGTATATTATACTGATTGACTTTCATATGTTCAGTCATCTTTTCATTCCAGTGAAAAATCCCACTTACTCATGGTGTAATAATCCTTTCAGTGTGCTTTTGAAATCAGGTTGCTTTTAGGTTGTTCAGAATTTTTTGGTATCAATATTCGTCAAAGATACTGGTCTATAGTTTTTTTGTCTTTGACTTTGGTTAAACCAGGGTAGTGCTGGCCCCATTGAATGAGCTTGGAAATGTTTCCTCCTCTTCAATTTTTTGGGGAGAGTTTCAAGAGAATTGGTGTTAATTCTTTAAATATTTGGTAGAACTCTCCAGCGAAGCAATTGAGTCTTGGACTTTCCTTTTTGGGAGAATGGGATTTGATTACTGCTTCGGTTTCCTTACTAGTTATAGGTCTGTTCATATTTTTTTATTGCTTCATGATTCAGTCTTTGTAGGTTGCACGTTCCTAGAAATTTATCCATTTATTGTTGGTTATCCAATTTTTTGGTGTTCAGTTGTTCATAGTATTTTTTTGTAATTCTCTTTACTTCCGTGACCTTGTTTATAACATCCCCTTTCATTTCTGATTTAATTGAATCTTTTTTTTCTTAATTAATTCCTGACAGAGGGCTTGTTGATTTTGTTGATCTTTTCATAAAGCCAACCTTTGTTTCATTGGGTTTTTTCCTATTGTTTTTGTGTTCTCTATGCCATTTATTACTGCTTTAATCTTTACTGTTTGCTTCTTCTAGCTTTGGGTTAATGTTTTCCTTTTCTAATTTCTAGAATTGTAAAATTAGGTTATTGATTTAAGATCTTTTTTCTTTTTTAATCTAAGTATTTACAACTGTATAATTATCTGTTAGCATTGCTTTCATTGTGTCCCTCAAGTTTTGGTTTGTTGTGTTTTCATTTTCATTTGTATCAAGGTATTTTCTTTCTTTTTTTTTTTTAAGATTTTTATTTATGTATTTGACAGAAATCACTAGTAGGCG